GAATGCCCCATATACCGTCGTTATACCCGAAGTAACTAAAGTAATAAAAGTAAGAAAAGTAAGATTTCTCTTACTTTCATGTGCCAGTTACTCGGGTAGGCAACGGGACCTAATTTCGAATCTTCCCCAGTATCGCCGTCAAAATTTTCACTTTCACGTGACTTTGTGTGACGCATGTCATGTATTATCATTGGTAAAATCGAAATGATCTTTGTATGACACGAGATTAGAGTTACAACGCCAGTACAGTATAACCTCGATATAACGAACCTCGATATAATGATAACGAAGATTATTTCTAATTTTTATGTTTAAATTAGTCCTGATATAATGAAACTACTAATAAGTTTTGATATAACAAAGCAAAACCTCCAGCTCCAGAGCTTCGTTATATCAAGGTTATACTGTACACAATTATTCTTTTTATTAAACACCATTTTAGTATTATAATATATAATTTTTAAAATGATATATAACTAATAAAAAATATTTTATTAGAATCGATTTTGATAAAAGTGGTATGTAATACAAAATTATTGGAAGTTTTGTCTTTCGAAATAACTAATAAAAAAAGTAAAAATAACATAATAAAAAAAAGCAAATAACTAATAAAAAAAATTTCTATTTTAGATATTTTAATGTTATAATAAAATAATAGTACCAAAGAAGAAAAAAATTTAGATCACAGTTAGTATCTGTATTTTCTTAAAGCCTAATTGAAAAAAATTTAGATCACAGTTAGTATCCATATTTTCTTAAAGCCTAATCGAAAAAAAGTGTATTTTGTGTATATCCTTTCCAAGTTAATGGTATGGTTTTTCTATTTCGATATGTTTCAATCTCATCTACCATTTTATGAATAGAATGGAAATTTTTTTTATGCTATTTGCCCATCGAATGTTTTTGGTCATCTTTTGTTCTTCGAGAAGCGTAAGTGTTTTGTTTGTTAATGATATTAATTCATCATAGATATTATTATTGTCTTCTTCTAACTCATTTATATCTTGAATTCTCTTAATCTCATTATGAGGAATAATTATTTCTGTTTGCTTCTCAATAAAATCTCGATCATACTCAATAAGAAATGGTGGCTGATGGTTTCTTTTTATACAGTTAAAAAATTCACTGTTTACCATTCCTTTTTGTTGTACCAGATACTTGCAAATAAAAATCTGCTTATTAAATAATATGGGTACCCACATACCCATTGATCTAAATTTGTAAAATATGTTTTATTAATTTCATGCTTTAATAATGTATTCCACTCTGGTTTGAAGATCTTTATCATTCAGGTTTTTCTCTTCCAGATTTAATTTGCTGTATCTTTTGCAATTGATGAACAACAACCTTTTGCATTAAAATGTATGTTACCAAGTCAAGACGAGGGCAGAAAAACTTGTAAAAGAAGTCTCTTTTTATAACTTTCCAGTGCCCTTCTACAAACATTGTAGTTCTAAAGATTGATATCTTGTTTTCGCAGACAGATCGAGCCCATAATGGTCATTTTTGATCACTGTATCATTCATTCCACAAATAACATCACAGTGATATTAGAGAATTATTTTTACAAAATGTATACATCTCTTGAATTGCATTTTCTTGGATTTCTTTTCTAGTAAAAAATTGACCATCAGGTGTAGGAATTAATGGATGCTGATGAAAGTGCATTTCAACCATTTTTCAGACTGCTTTATGATTTTCTTTAGGACAAAATTTAGGAGTCTGAGTAATACCTTCAAATGGAAATCGAGTACCAAGTTGAGATAATGGATTAAAGATATTATTTCTAGATGACTTGTTACTAGCCAACCATGTCATAATAGCTCTTTTCATATACCATTTATACAACTGGATTTTAACTTCCTCTTTCCAAGTAAAACACATAGCATTTATTTGTGCAAAATCTTTATCAGTAAGTATAAACTCCAGATTTATTTCATTTTTATGCAATTCATAAAGGAATGCATAAATAATATCAGTGTACACTCCATCGGAGCATTGACTATTCTCTAAAAAAAGGTAGGCCAAAGAGAATCCAGTACCATTCACTTCAGCTTGGAAGCTATATAGCTTTATTTTAAAACTATTTGTTTTATCTAAAAATTTATTATTTGTATTTTAATTTAGTTAACTCAGGGCTAGAGTTTGGAGCTGATTTTATTATTCATATATTAAATCCGATTAAATGGTTTTAACATATAAAAAATAAACTGACTTCAAAATTTATTCAGACTTTTTTATTAAAAAAATTTAATAACTTACATGTTGCATCAATACCACACTCAGATATGATAGTATTCATTTGTTTTAGATATTCATAAAGGCTAGTCATAAATGCCAGAGCATGAATAGGATATGTTTTTTTCAAAATAATAGTATAGTGATTTTCTTTAAGCCATTCTATGGCTGATTTAAATGCATCATCATCATGTTTGTACCTATTTTTTCCAAGCTCTGATCACCAAAAATGAATTTGTTTTTGTCGAATTAATAGGTTCAAGCCTTCATTGACAAGTCATGTATATATCTCACAGGGTAAGAGATCAATATTTTTTTCAATATAATCTTTGACATGTTCAGGTACTGACACGTCTTGCAGCCTTTTATGTATATTATGAGTTAAAGTTACTATCGCTATATTGGTTGTTTGGTTAATACTAATCTTAATAGCACCATTACATTTAAACCACTCCATGTATGGTTTATCACGATGTTTCAATGGTCTTTATTTTTTTTAGAGGGTTCTGCTAGTATATCTCTTTGTGAACACACATACCAATACATTGTCATATGTTTTCCTATATATGAAGTATTATAGATCCATGCAAATTCATCGGCATCTTCAATAATTTCAACTAACTCGTTAGTGATTTCTTTTAGTGGTTTTTCTAATGTGGATATTTCTATTTGACATTGAAAAAAAAATGGAGATGCTGTTTCTAAATTACTACCCTGTTGCATTAAGTATGTATCTAGGATTTCTAAAATATAATCGTAAAGACTATCTTTCTCGATTATTTCTAACTTATTTGGATTTTTTTCATACTCCTCAACTACAAGCTGTTTTTTTTTTTTAGCATGGCTTTTGGTTGTTTTAACGCGACAACTACTGCAGGTGCGAAATTGTTTGGCTTGTCCTTTTGCATCAACTCCCATAAACTCACTAAGAGACTTTTTAACCTTACATCTAGAACAATCTAAAGATTCCATATTAATCTTATTTAGATTTGGTAATTTTTTATTAGAAATGGCAAGAAAAATGGTTAACAAATGCAAATACACTTAATTAAATTTTTTTAAGTGTTCAGGTAAAAGTAAGATGCCTTTTAAAGATATTAATGATTTGAACTTTTGATTTATTAAAATATTTATTAATTCGTGCGATTCAATGTTTTAGATGATATAATTATTCCTTTTTATATGGTGCTGGAAGCCTATACTCAATGGTTACATAAAATGTTTCAAAATTTTAAATAACTATAACTTTTTATCTAAAAGGTTTTAAAAAATTCACCTGGTAACTTTATAGAGCTATATCAGCTCTATAAAGTTACTAGGTGGATTTTTTTAAAACCTCTTAGATAAAAAGTTATAGTTATTTAAAATTTTGAAACATTTTATGTAACCATTGAGTATAGGCTTTCAGCACCATATATTTTTTTGACCATGAAAAAATCTAAATATTTGCTTTACTAAGTTTTTAAAACATTAAATTTAAAGGTTTATAATAATAATCGCAAGTCTCATTATTACTTTCGGCTAAATTAGTAGGCTGCTGAATTGGTTTGTTGTCAATGTCAACCGAAACAATGCTTTCAGAAACATGTGCATAAACTTGCATAAATGTGCATTCATATATATGGTTCACAGGCGAAGATTGGTTATATTATTTTTTACTACATACTGATCTTAGTATACTTACAGCTGTTTTCATAAATTCTGGAAACCTGATAAAAGTTTGTTGAATGATACTTCGGCCGATCTAATTATTATTTTATCAGGTGTCCTAGAATTTATAAAAGCAGCTGTAATGATTTGTCCAAACTCAAGCTCTTGTCGATTCAGCCAAATGAACTGATTTTTATTATTTATCAAAGTTTAATATGAAATTAATAATACTTCTAAAGTACACAACCGAGTTTCTAGCATTTTTTTAGCATTATCTGACCAGTGTGCGTTTAAGTAATCAGTATGTATTTTTATTATTTTTATAATTTAATTATAAATTTTATATAAATATTCTAATAAACTAGTGTTATTTACTGTTCAAATTGGCAAATTAAACTTTTTGAATGCACAACTAATAATTATTTATTATTTTTTTTTATGAATTTCTTTTATATAAAAAGGCTGAACCAGAATTAATCTGAAGATATGGCCGCATGACCATAAAGTCAAAAATCTATAACTCAAAATGGGTGATGTAGAAAGCTCTAATTAAAAATTATGGGCTGGTGTCAGATATAACTTTATGCTGAGAAATGCCCTTTGGGATTATGTAAATTCACTTGCAATTTAATAATTCAATTTGACTAAGCATTTTTGTTTATTCTGTATAACTTAATAGGGTCAAATAAAAGAAAAAAAAAGATTCATTAGATGCAAAAATACTGTTCCTGATGGATCATTGGTACTGAGTAAGAAAAAAAAATCGATTTACATATCATTTCTAATAGAGTTCTAAAAAAAGGGCAAATACCATATTACTGATTGTGAAGTATATTGAAAAAATTAGGATCAGGATTCGTTTTTGGAATCCTAACAGGAACAGTACTCAAATAAAATTCTTTAACCCTACCAGGTCTTGTTTCACTAAGTCTTCATTGGGTCACACTTTATTGAATTTTACTTCTTCAGATTTTGCTTCATTAGGTCTTATTCATCAGATTTTACTTTGTCAGACCTAACTTCATTACTTTGTCAAGTCTTCTTCATTGGGATCTTGCTTGTCGAGTCTTACGTTTGTTGAGTCATGCGTCATTGGGTGTTTCACTTTGTTAAGTCTTGTACTTTGTAGTCTTGAATTTCGTTGAGCCTTCCTTTATTAGGTTTTGCATTTCGTTGAGTTTTTTTTGTTGATTAAAAGTATACTTAAATATTAGAATAGAAGTTAATAATAGAATATAATTAAGTCTAGTGTTGGACTATCGAAATTAGATTTAGTGAAAAGATTACAATTAGAATCAGGTTTTTATTTTGTAATGATATTTAAATAAATAAAAAATTTCATCAAATTTAATTGAGCGATTGCCGAGATATTTTTGATCAAAGTCATATTAAAAATTTTAATGCAGTTTCTATATAATAGGTGTTTTAAAAGTTTTAAAAACTTGATCAAAGATATCTCGGCAATCTTTGATCAAATTAAATGATTTTTTTTTTTATTCAAATTCTACAGATCAGTAGAATTCGAATAAAAAATTTTTCATCAAATTTAGTCGAGTGGGTGCCAAAATAACTTCGACCAAAGTTGTGATAGAAATTTTGGCACAGTTTCTATAATAATAGGCATTTTAAAAATTTTAAAACTTTGATCGAAGATATCTTGGTATCTACTTGACCAAATTCGATGAAATTTTTTTTGTTTGAATTCTACAGACCAGTAGAATTCGAATAAAAAAATTTCATCAAATTTGGTTGAGTGGGTGTTGAGACATCTTTGGTCAAAGGTGTGTTGAAAATTTTTATGCAGTTTCTGTATAATAAGCGTTTAAAGACATTCTAAGCTTTGACCAAAGATATTTCGGCACATACTTGAACAAATTCAATGAATTTTTTTTTATTTGAATCCTAAAGATCAATAGAATTCGAATAAAAAAAATTTCATCGAATTTGGCGAGTGGGTGCCGAGATATCCTCGATCAAAGTTGTTAAAATTTTGGCGCAATTTCTGTATAATAGGCGTTTAAAGAAATTTCAAAACTTTGACCGAAGAAATCTCGGCACATACTTAAACAAATTCGATAAAAATTTTTTTATTTGAATTCTACAAATCAGTAGAGTTCGAATAAAAAAAGATTCATAGAATTTGCTTAGAAAGTGGTCGAGTTATCTTTATTCAAAGTTTTTAAAAATTTTATTTTATCAATTAAAAAATGTTATTCTTTATTGGTTGCGTCACAATGTCATATGAAAGTGAAAATTTTGACGGTGATATTGGGGTAGTTTAATTTCGACGATCAGTCACGTGAGACCATGACCGATTTCGAGGCTTACACTATCTCATTAAATTTGATTGTATTTTTATTAAGATCATTTTTTATTATATTTGACTTTATAGTTACTTCTTCATTTAGCAACCTTGACTATATTTTTTATTTTTTACACAAATATAGTCAACAAAGTAAGAAACTTGTCAACAAAGTGATGAAGCAATCATTATTACAAGATTAGATGACTTTATGGTAGATCATATGCAACATATGTATGTGTATCCCTTATGGAGTAAGCATGTTTTATGCTTTGTACCTTGTGGAATTTAAGTATTTTTAGGAGTAATGCCAGAATAACATATGAATATTTGAATTTGGTTATCTATAAATTGATATTAAGCAGTAATTATAGTTTATAAATTACACATAGGCTAGGAAGAGTTGATAATCAGTTTAGAGATAATGTATTTAAGTATTGTTTCTTTAAGTAGAGGTCTTTATCTTTTTGTTCACTATTGCTTGCCCAGTAGTTAGGTTTGGTTTCATCATCATAAGTGCCTGATTATCTTAGATGTAATAATAAATAAATAAATAAACTATAACTTATATACTGTAGTATTTCATAAGTTATACATAACATTCAACCAAAACTAGTAGCAATATCCTTTGTTGGTTGAACAAAATTAACTGTCAAAGAACTATAAGACCTATATATGACATGTGGGTTTTTCATTGATGGCAATAAAGAAGAGTTAGAAGAAAGGTTGCAAAAATATATTAAAAAGAAAAAAGAAAACTTGTTAGAAACAAATTAAGAAAATAGTGTTGAAATGAGAGAGTTTCCAAAAAAGAGAATGAATGAGTTTAATAATGAAGTTTTTGCAAATAATAGAATAGTTGACCTTGAAGGTGATGTATTGGAAATAGGTTTCTAGGAAGCTAACTATAGAATAGGTGAGAAATTGGCTGCACATTTTCAAGAAAAAAAAAATTATTTCAGTTCAGATTGATATTTTTATGTTAATTTTGGGTAAGATAGAGAAGAAAATAGATAGAAACTTCTCAGTTTTATACAAGAAGATAAAAAAAAGTGAATTATTAAAAGAGTCATAAATAGATGTTAAATTATCAAAATCATGCAATTAGCATAAATATAACTTTTTAGTTAAAGTAGGCAAACAGATAGATAGAATATTGTCAGTATTTGATAAAAGAGTTCATTGAAATTAGAAAAAAAATAGAAACCTGTACAGTAATGCTGAGATTAGTTGATAACAAAAGCTGAAGTACTATTTTGCAAATAGTTAAAAATAATAATAAAATAATAGAAAAATATAAAGATCAAATTTTAGTTTTTAGTTAAACATAATTAAAGGCTTGTTTTAGTAAATAAAAATATAGTAGCAGGTCTAGGTATAACCAAAATAAATAAAAAAGAAATAAAGACCACCTATTGCCAATGTCATTTGATTTAGAAAAAGATAACTTTTATAAGATGATTAGGAAAAAAAAAGATTAGTTCTTTTTATAATAAAAAAAATATAGTTAGACAAGGTGCCAAAGATTGGTTAAGTGTTTTAATTATGAAAAAATTAGTTATATTGTTACAAATTGCTTTTTTACAAGTTTAAGAATTTTTATTAAATCTAAAAACTGTGATTAACTATATTTAAGCCTCTCTAAAAGAACATTTAATAAATATAAAATTAGCAGATATATCAGATAAAGTAATAGTTGTAGAAAAAATATAAACTATAAAGGCATTAAGTTACTAAAAGAACAAAATAGGTTCCTTTTTAGTGATTATAGATTGGCTAATAAATAGAGCTTTTTTATTTTCAAAAATTTTTTAGTACTTATTACACAACTAGTTTCAAATTAATATTTATTAGCAACAAAACAAAAAGAATAGATAAAAAAGATAAATCAATTGATAGTAACTTTAGCAATTAGTTGTTTAGAAAACCAAATAAAAAGACCTATATTTTTGTTAAAAGTAAGTCTAATATATTTGCTTCTAAAAAAAAGTACTAAAAAATAAAGATTAGTAATTAAGTTGAGAAAATTGAATTTAATTTTGTTTAAATAATAAAGATTTGATTAGAAGGCTTAGAATATTTATTTTAGACAATAGGAAAAAAATGATATATAATTATATAAAACCTAAAAGGAGACTATTACTAAGTTATTGTAAGAAAAAATACTTAGCATTTTCTAAATTTCAAAATGATAAGTAAATGGTATTACTATTAGGTTCTCTTTTTGGACTCTTACAAACAATATAAATATTCTCAAAAAATATAAGATCAATAGTTGGACATTGAAGATTACTGGGTCTATATTGCAAAAATTACTTGAATAATTTCTGGTTAGCTTTTTTTTATTAGAAATTCTAATTATAATAAGAGATCAAATAATAAAAGTAGATAAAACAATATAGCTTAGTAAGAGAGATATTAAAAAATCAGTAGATATCATTATAACAAGTAAGATTTTTCAGGTTATTAATAGATACAGTAAAGGCAAAGATAATAGTTTCAGAAGACAAAATTGTAAAAACAAAAAAATTATTAAGCAAATTAGTAAAAAAAAAAAGGTTTTAGTTCAAAAATTAGATGTAATAATAAGAAAATACAATTATTAAATAAAGTATTTATTTATGCCAAGGTTTGTTATCTAAAATTTTATTTATTAATAACTATAGCAAAAAGAAGAATATAAAAATAAAATTTTCTAGTTTATATAACAAAACAGATATAAAAAAATGCAAAATAAGTAGCTCAGAACTTAAAAAAATAAATAGATATTCAGTCTAAAAATTATTTAAAATAAAACAAGTATTTGTTGATATATCAACAATAGGTTAGATAACAATTTTCAGAAAACACAAATCTTTTAAAAATTAAAGCTCAAGAAAGTTGCATCAAGAGATCATCTAATTAAAAGTAAAAGTAATAATTTTGAAAATAAAATTAGTTGCTAAACTTCTAAAACACTTCTAAATTGATTTGCATATTAATAATTAAGATGCTATCAGTATAATAATAAAAGGAAGCAAACTCTTATAGCAAAAAGGTCTGCTAAGAAAACTCTATATCTGATTGATAAGTATAGTATATGGATTAGTGGGAATTTTTTGAATCTTTTAGAATTAAACCTAGTAAATACTTTAACTAGATATATAAACTTCAACAATTGGTGTCTATATTTGATTAAAAACTATATTCAATAAAATAATCATTTTTAGATTATAAAATTTGTATTATATGATTATTGTTTTGAGTTTGATTAGTTTTATATTGTGCTAAAATACATTGATTAACTTTTTTAATATAGATAAATCAGCACATAATAAATTGTTAGTTAAAGTTTTTGAATATAATTTTTTAATTATAGTAAAATAAAATCTAAAATAAATTGATTTTTATATAGTTAAGTATTTTATATTTAAATTATAAAATTATTAAAAAAAAATTTCTTAATTTCATTAATATATAAAATATAAGTATTAATCAATTTACAAATTTATATACAGTTAGCTCTTGCTATAGTTACACCTTTGGGTCCCTAAAAATATGTGATTATAGTAAGAGTGTGACTATAAAAAAAATTTATAAAATTTATAAATTTATATTAAAAATTAATTTTATACAGCTGTTAATCTGTAGTTTTTCCTTTAACCACAATAAGAACAGAAGCTGTTTAACTATAGTATAATGACTATAACTTAACAGATTCTATACAAAAGTCTACACAAGACTTTAACAAAATACAGAGTGATTTAGGATTTTAAGGCAGAGGCAACAATAGATAGTATATGAAGATATTAAATATTGCATTTAGTTTATTAACTATAAAATGTATGAAGACATTTCTAATTGAAATGTATAGAGATACTTCTAATTGAAATGTATGGAAACATTTCTAATTGAAATGTATAAAGACACTTATCTTTCTTGAAGGGTCAAAAAGTAGTGCTTTTATAGATATTTTATATATATAAATAATTACAATAAAGACTACTCTATTGTTAATAAATGCTATTTATAATAATAAGAACTAATAGATATAATAGATATAATATATGGGAGCTTTGCTAACAAAATAACCCTCCGAGTCATTGTTACACAAGATTTTAATTAGAAAAATCATAATAAATCTATTTTTAGTAAAAAAATTTTATAGCAAAGATCTCATATATAATAGATATAGTAGATATAATAGAAATGATAGATCTGTTAGAAATGATAGATCTAATAGAAATGTAATATCTGTAATATCTGTAAAATCTGTAAGCTCTGTAAGAAGTATAAGATTTCTGGCATAGTAATTTGAGCCAATCAGAATCAAGTCATATGTATTATAATTAATGCTTTTCATCAAAATCATCCTGATCTCATGATCCCATAATCAGAATCACATAATCTTGTGCTCGTTAGAATCATCTTGGTGAGCTGAATCTAATGGTGGTTATTTCATCCAAATTGGTTTAGTACATCAAAAGTTATAATCAAAAATGTGTAAAACTCTTAATGTTAACAACAGCTTAATATTGCTAAAAAATATATTTATTAATATAAAACTATAAATTTAAAAAAATTTTTTATAGTTTTTTGTTTCATATTTTTTAACTATTTTTTTCTAACAATATTATTATATTTTCTTAAAGTATGCAAATATTCAATTTTAAATTCTGTATCTGTTTGTTGTTCAAAATAATTTATAAAAGTAATTAAAGCATTTAATTTCTTCTTATAACTTATTAAAACTAGTTCTTCATTACTTGAACTACTATCAAATTCTGTAGATTGAGTTGCAAGATTAATAATTTGTTCATCATTTAAAAACTCTTCTGTTGGAATAATTTTATTATTATTAACATAAGTAATAAGCTTACTTATATTTTTAACAGCTTTTAAATTTAAAATTTGTTGTAAATTCACTGTATTATTTTCTTCTAAATTTTGTTATTCTTCTATTGTCATTTCAATAATTGATAGATCAGAATCAGATAAAATACCTGTTTTTTTCTAACAATTTTGAATTGTTTGTTGTATAACACTACTTTATACATTTTCAATAAAATTAATTGCTTCTAAAACATTTAATTTTCTAATAATAAATTATAATTAATAATATATAAAATTTTAATTTAATTTAATTTAATTAATTTAACTTATTTATCTTCTTTATTACATTCAAATCTTCTAATTAACTCTTGAGCATATAATTGTTTATATTTATACTATGAATTATTATTATTAAAAATAAATTAAAAAAAATTTTAATAAAAATATAAATCTTATATACTTTAAAATTATTAATAATGCTGCTGTTCATAGGTTGAAGATGTGTTGTTGTAAAAGGTAGCAAAAAAAATAAAGAATAATATTGCTTAGTTTTAAAGTATTTTTTTTATTGCATTTACTTTTATGAAAAAAATATAATATATAATTTAATAAATTGTTCTTATAAATAACAAATTATAATACTATATAGTGCTGCTTATGATATACTGAATACAATATATTCTACAATACTCAAAGCATTATACTTAGTAATCTTTTATATAATAAGCTTTTTTATATAGAATATACTTATCTCCAGATATACTATATTCTACAATAAAATTTTTAATAGAAGTATTTTGCATGAAGGTACTATAGTTAGAACTGTATAGTAATTCATAATTTTTATTTAGAACTTTTTTAGTTTATTAAATTCTTACTATTCTTATAGGCCTAATTTAATACATTATAAATTATAAATATGCCTCAATATCTAATTTTAATTATAATATCTGCTGTTATTATTACTATTTAAAAAACCACATTTATGATCATAACTAAATAAAATAAGAAATAAAATTAGATTAATATTTTTTTATACTATATATATAAACTAAATTAATCTAAAAAAGTATTAATTACCTATT